TAAATGTAATCATACGAAAAACATTAAAAAAACAAAACAAAACGAAAAATAAGAGAGGTTTCAATATAACCAAACCAGTTACTCTGTCATCTATTATGGATTTGATGGCATAACGAAAAAGGCAAATAGCATTAATAATAAATATAAAACGCTTCAATTATTCGAAATTGATGATTGATTATGATTTTATTAATTAACCGAATACGCGGCTGTTATTCACATTCGTTTACGCATTTCAGATTATACAGAGAATAAGCGCAAATTGATTTTATATGTAATACGTTTCACGGAAATTTAATTAAATAAAATCCACACGCTTTTCCCTCTCTCTCGCTCTCGTGTACGTATTTGCGTGTATGTACGTGTGAGCAGTTGTTTCATCAAAAGTAATGGGAAATGAGAAAAAAAAATGATATAAAAAATGAATTCGATATTAATTTTTGGCTAGGTGTTTCGCACCCAACAACATGAAAACACCAAATTATCGTAAACGGAGGGACGCTGTCGTTTCCAAATATTCGTTCCTAATTTCGTATTGCTCTGGAGCAATACGCTCCAACTGTATTATCGCATTCCAAGCTTTTTTTTTGTTTTCTGTCCAACAAAAAAATGACTCAGAATGAAATTTTAAAATGATATCAATTTATCGATTTCAATACACCCTTCGGCATGACTCACTCATGAAAATGTTGATATTAAAATTCAAATGCATATATTATGTGCATTTTTGTTGCCTTTCCAACGATTTTCCAAAATGCATAGTTCCCTTATTTATTTCACCAATTGGTTTTCAATTGGTTGATCTTCTAACCTCATTGGGTATGTGAAAATTGTATGAAGTTTATGAATCTTTCCATGTTTCTGAATGAAATATTTTCATCTTTTGACACCAAAATCATTTTTCAGCAAAATGTGGGGATAGAGGAGAAATTATTCTGCAATTGCGGCTCAATGGATACTCGAAAGACATCCTTGGTTGATTATTTTTGTTAATAATGAAACCAAATTTTGAATTGTGATGCAAAAGCAATATGAAAACAAAACACCATTCACACTTAATATGTTTTATTTAAATGATGGAACATAGATTTTTGTAATTTGCAGCAGTTACTGGAAATGTGATTTGTATCATCGAATAATTTGGAGCAATGAAATGACACTTAATGCAAACATGCTTCATTTAATGGATCTTACAAACTTAATTATTTAACGAATGACAATAAGCGATATCCATTTGTTCAAGTCAAATCAACGATCAAATATTCATGACACTGCTCCGTTGTATTTTAATAGCGGTGTTCGCATTCAAATCGCTTTAACATTACGAAAATTTCAATTGATTTTTGTTTTAGTTTCTGACATGTGAACAGAATATTGGTAAAAGCACGAGTACTTTTGTAGTTTGAATAAATATTTGAAAATGGTTGCATTGTTGAATAAGATAAACGAGCTCAAAAATGCAATTTATTCAATCCAAAGCTCTAGTTGAAAATCAATTGTTAAGTACAACACAAACCTGATTATCCACTGAATACACGACAAACTCCGAAGAATGAAAGAGACAGGTAATTTAACCCCCCTGAATAAATGGTGAACATTAAGATAGTTACCCTAGGGGATTGGATCTCAATACAAACGTCGCGAATTATGTGATATTTTGCGACTTTTATGCGAATTAATTTGCAGGTGGTGTCTGAAAAAGTTCGTGAAATCGGAATTAGCTGCAAACAATAATAAGACAATTTGCGTCCTTTGTATTGATTAAATTTTAACAATTTACTACGAATTGTTGCGACTTTTTATTGAAATAACCAATTATATCGCAACTACAATAAACTTTGTATGTTCGCAACTAGATCATTTCCCTTGTATTTGAACCTTGGAATGTTATTGTTAAAAGAAATGATTAAAAATCGATTGACAGATAATCGGGTTTGTGCTGTAAATCAAAAAATAAGTATCTATACAATCAAGTCAATTGATTGCATTGATTTCATATTTTTAAATCAACTGTAGAATTTTTCAAAGTCTCCATGGTCATCTCTTTCACTCGCATTGCAATTCATTCCTAATTAGGTGTGACAGGCGACGACAGGCAACTCGTAGATTTTACAAATTCCTTTCATTGTTCTGATGAAAAGTTGTAATATACACTCTTTTGCTAAAGCGAAGCATAATATCCAACTAACGTTTTCATTTAAAATTTTGATTTGTTGGTTTTGAGCCAAATTTTCAATCGAAGTGATGCATCGAAACCAGAAAATCCATAAATTCAAATCCGAAAATATTTGACAGCACTATTCTATACATGTTGTATGCTTGTTTTGTCCAGCATTTTTAAAATCATTGCTGGAAAACCTTTTTTTCTAATCCGACTCGCTAATTGACTTGAACACGGGAACAATTTTTTAAACGTTTATAGCCTTGAGTTATTTTTTTATTCACAAAATTGATCTATTTTTTTTGATTTTTCGATGAACGGTGCTTAGTTCAATGAAAAAAGAAATGTATGCTTTCGGTAGCATATTTTCATTTTCCGTACATTGTTTGCAGTATTTTTTTTCGAAACTACCTACATCCACACTCTTATCAGTTTCATGTTTCGTTCGAATATTGAAAATATACAATCAATTAAATTGATCGCATATGCAGACTCTCCGCCTCTTTTCTATGTTTCTTTTTTTTGTAGGTATTGGAATTCTAAACATAGAAATTACTATGTGCATTTTTGCATCGTAACATTCAAACCGACTCGGAACTCAAAATGAATGTATCGTTTTAATGAATGGCAGAAGTACTGCTGTTAATCATTGTTTATTCTTTAAAACAATTTAATGAATATGTGGTAAAACAAGGAACATTTCATTTGCGGCATTCTCAATTTCCATAATATTGTGATTGTGGCACCGATAATTTTGAACATCATAGAAAGTTTTTGAGCCTGATTCGAGCAAAGAATTATGGCAAAAAACATGGAAACATGCACATTTGAGGTTCAGTTTGTATAATTTCATGCAGCAAACAAAATGCAACGTTGGCGTAACAGATCCATGTGCCAGAAAGAATGAAAAGCTACGTATGCCAATTATTTTCCTTAGTTTCATTCGATTTTGAATGTCCATCACAAAGACTTTGAAAATGTACTCAACAAATTTGAAGAACCAACACCGTACAAATCTATTCGCAACTAGCACCAGTTCTAAATAAAGTCACTTTAATATTTAAATCTCTCTCTCTCTGCTTTTCTCTGTGTGTCGAATTTGTAAGGAGCGGTGTCGATGCAGCTAATAAGAAGGCATGAATACATTTTCAAAGAAACGATCTTTTGAAATGCTTTCACATTTGCATGAGTGATGGCTTATATGCGTTTGGCAGTTCTCTTTTCAGCAAATATGTTTTGGATTTTGTAGTACGATGACATATGCATCGTGCACTCAATCGCTGGTCGTGTAACGAGAGAGATAGAGTCAGATAGAGGAGGAGAGAGAGAGAGAGAGAGAGAGAAAGAAAGAAAGAAACAGAGTATGGCTGTACGTAATTCATTGGTGGCACATGTTATAGAACAACAACACAAACTATTTTACGTCCGCCGCACACTAATTAAAAAAGTTTAATTAAAATCATCTCGCCATACTCAACTGGCGTGCGCGCTCCATCCCGTTCTCGTTTGTTTGCCGCCTCGTCCTCGGCAGCATCCATTTATTCACAATCATGGTGCACACGAGCGTGTGTGAATGTATATGTAATTTGTATTTGTTACGAGAACGTCTTTCGCATCATCTCCAATTCTCTCTCTCTCCCTTTCGCACTTCCATTCTGCTTTCTTCTCGCTATTTTTTATCGTGTATTATTTCTTCAGTAATTTTATTGTTCGTATTTATTTCTCTTCTATTTTCATACGCGACACTTCTTCTTTTTTTTTTCATTTCCAAGACACTTTCCTGATGAAATTTACTTATTTCGATTTGGTTTTTACTTCTTTAGTCATTTTCATGGCGTACTAGCTTATTTTCTTAACTTCAACTTCCGACTTTTTATGGACATTAATATTCCACTTTTGCATGGTATTTGGCATCTAAATTTTTTCGCTGTTTTATTCTAATTGATATTGAACATAATACGTTTGGCTATAGCAATAAAAGCGTGTATGTTCCACTCGATTCATGGGCCCGAAATGTTTTGGGTTTTTATGAGCACTGCTTTTGTCAGTTTGATGATTGCATTCGAAATGTGCACAAAATTGTGCATAAAAACACAAATACAACAAAGACAATTATCTCGCTTTCCATCATGCCAAATGTTGTAATTTCGTTGCTCCAATGCTGAGTCTCTGGACAATTTAGATGAGAATTTTACGCATCAAGCGAAAGTGATGATGATAATTATGTTTAAACTTTATAACCATAATAAGATGTAAATTTTCATTTTCAGCACGGATAGCTGAAGATATCGATTTCAAATTCTCGAAACGAACCGGAAAATAAACTATCCGTGTTTGTTTTATTTATTCGTTGAATTCGCTTTACGTTGTTATCAAAATATGTACAAGTATATTAAATCGTAAAGTATATTAAATCGAGGATTTGTTCTCTTCGCAATTACCAATAATTGTACACATTTCAACAATAAATGTTTATACATATTTTAGCAAATGGAAAAACAAATGTTGTGGCCAAGTTGATAATAATGATAGCATGTAAAAAGCTCATGTGGTCTACTCTCTACAACGTACATATGTGGTTTATCCCAATGTTTTTCGGTATCCTCGAAAATGCGTTCCACATTATATGAATATGATGAATTATGTGCATTGCTGATACAAGAAAACGACATTATTCTATTTTAATGACAAACGTCATTCAATGAGATTTTTCGTTCAAAGAAAGCGAATTAAATTCGAAGAGCATCATTTTATCTACTTAAAATGCAAACATTAAACAAAATAAAAATTAAATTTGACGAGAATTGCGGTTCTAATCAATGAATGGGCTTATTTTCAGCCAGCAGGAGACAGTGGTATGAATAAGAGGAACGGTGGAAATATTGGCATGAGCTGCGGTAATAATGGTAGTCGTTCGAGCGTTGCATCGAATTTTCAGCATCCAATTATATCATGTTTGAACGAAGTAAAAGACCAGAAGAACCAACATCAACCATCCCAAAATCACAATTACAACAACGTAAATCATATGTTACATTCACAAAATCAACAGCATCAGGTAATGTGTCTATTCAAATTTCAAATAGTATTCATATGGTATGATAAACAAAATCGGATTCAATAATATTTGAATAATCTCTGTGTGGATCTTTGATGGCACCAATTCATCGTGGTACTCATGTGGTTAACAAATTGGTGCCAATTGAGATCTTTGCGGAGATTGTCTTTTTTTATGTCATATATTATTTAGGTGCAACAACAACACCATCGTGACAGTGGCTACGGAAGCAGTCCGGAAACCAAAATCACCGAATTTGACTCACAAGTGCATTGATATGAAGATATTTTCTCCATTGGTATCGATTCGAACCGGACATACAATTGACGAATTCACAATCCATATGATCTGTAATGATTATAAATAAATCAGATTACACAGTATGGTGAAAGACTACACTGTAGCTCCATTAAATTCTTTGTGCAATATTTTAAATATGATTAATGAAACTCACTCATCGTTTGGATCTTTTGCACATTTTTCAGTTAATTATTGTAAATGTGCAATGCGTTCGATTAGGTGGTACTTAAAAAAACAGTAGATACTATTTCAGAGAGTGGATTAAAGTCATTCAGAAAAGACACTTTTTGAAGAAAAAAATCTTTACAAAATGAGTGATGTAAATTTATTATCCAGATGTATAGAAGTCAGAGCATCCGAATTCGATGTATAACGAATAAAAGTATGCAGAATATATTTTTCAAATATAAAGCGGTACGATGTGTTGCGGTGTGGTGTCGTACAACTATGCTGAAATTTTGTTTTTAAATCCAGAAACTTTGATAAAAATTACAAACATCTTTTCCGACTCTTGAGGATATATTTTTTTTAATTTGTAACAAGAAACAAAGCATTTAAATGCTATAAAAACAACGTATTATTTCGTGAGAGACCAAACTGAGAGCTGGATCGGTTTTTATATCAAAACAAAACTTGTTACATATTAAAATTGTGAGTTTATGTTATTTTTAGTCAAGACATTCAGTTAAAATGGACATCTGATGATTCGATCATTTAGTAAAAATTAATTGATGAAAAACTATGAAAAGATTGCGTTAGAAGCATTTGTGAATGAATACGAATACTACCATACAGATGCATCTTCCATCATTCAGTTTGGCTAAAAATCAGAGGTTGGTTCACATGCATCCACAACATATACCGTCGCTCGAGGTCATGTCGATTCTCAATGAGTCTGTTTAAATAACTTTCAATTTTCGTGGCTGAATTCATTGTATGATTAGATTTGAATAGATATTTCAACAAATTTCGCAAAATAGCCGCTTTTTGTGAGTTTCAATTTTGTGGCAACAACAATTGTGTCCATGGGAAGAAAAGTGGCAATACAAAAACGGAATCTGAACATAATTTTTTTTTGTATGGAGTTATAACGTTCTTCAGATTTCTAATGTGTCCATGGGAAGAAAAGTGGCAATACAAAAACGGAATCTGAAGAACGTTACATAATTTTTTTTTTACATAGTTTAACTCCATACAAAAAAAATTATGTAACGTTCTTCAGATGCCGTTTTTGTATTGCCACTTTTATTTCCATGGACACAATTGTTTACTCCAAGTGAAAACTTTCAATTTGGACGGGTACATTCAGAGCAGAGCATGAAATCGACACTCACGAAGAGCGCACTTGCTGGGAGCTGCTCCTAGGTGTGAATGTGTTAGTGTGGTTAACTTTAGGAGCCGCTTCTGACAAGTACCCTACGCCCTTCTGAGCCACTGCGCTAAGCAGGCACGTTTCATAACAAATTCGATTTCAAACTTTGATTTTGGGTTATTGTTAATATATTGTTGTTGCTACAAAATTGGAATTCACAAATCAGCTGCAATTTCGTAAAATATCTGGAATATATTCAGTATCTTTGACAGCTACTTTTCAATCCAAATTAGTTTTAATGTGAGTATCAATTGTAAGCTTCGGCTGTACCAAAGTGTTTTTTTTAAATTGATGATTTTGTTCTTTCCAAGAACTCCATTCACTGATGTTCAGACTTTTGCTTTTCAAAATTAAAATTTGATTATGATTCATAATATTTCCGGGATGAAATCATAAAACTGATTGTTTTTGGCTAGAAAAATTGGACTAAATATTAGAAAGGTCGTTCATTACAACTATATACATATGTATATGCATATGCAAAACCACAAATAATATAGTAACTATAATAATCTTTGTAAATACTGAAGCTCGATGCATGAAAGAACTTTTTTTCGAAAACCATTTGGATACAATTTTGAAGAAAATTCAAATTCATTTTCCTTATTTCACACAAAAAAAAAAAATGAAGAAAACATATGCAATCGATTTAAAAACATTTCGAAGAAAATTGCACTAACATATATTCAAATTCAAATGAATGTTTCGTTTAAAAGGAACAGATAATGGAACAGACATATATGTAACAGATATATAAATAATACATTTGAGCGGAGCCATTAGCCATTTATTCATTCCGTTGATAGAATGTAAAAGAAAGCTCTCGCCGTTAAATTTGTGAACTTAAATAGTTGAAATGTATGCATGATGTGCATGAATTTTAGCAGCAATGCCACGAAAGTTCCATTATAGATTGCGAAAATAAATGCATGACATGGAATGCAAAGCTTTTTTATTTAAAAAAAGCTCCATCGAATGACTTCATCATAACGTTAGAATGTTAAGAATGAGAAACTGTTTGATTTGTTAAAAGAGCTCCAACACAACGAACATTGCCAATAGAATTCAAATTCTATTATTAATAACGCATCTAAAACCAAACAATTCATTGAACATTTAATATCAATGATAGCTTGCGTAAAAGACTCGAATTGTATACAGAGCACATGAGGTATCAATTAAAGTAAACAAAGAATTCGAATTCTGTAAATAATACTGAGTGAAATCGAAAACATTTCAATGGGTATATACGGTTGAATCATGTTCCACTAATTAACGAAAAATAATTCATTTTTTTTCAAACGGTGATCAAACGGGCGAATTCGGAATGAAAACGAATGGAATGGCACACTGTAATTTTTTTTTCTTAAATTCATTATGCAAAAAAAAATCGTCACGTTTCAAATAACGACTTTCGAAATTGCGATTGATCAATGTTGATGAAATACTCTTAAAAATTAAAAACACGCAGATTTAAGTGAAAATAATGTCAAATTTATTTTAATAATAACATTTGTGTTCCTTCAATTGTCTTTGCTCACAATTTATACTGGCTGATTCACTTAAAATATCAAAAAAAAACTAATTTTTGGCCATGTGCCAGCAACCAAATTTACGGAAGGATACGATTATTTTAGAGAAATCATATCGATTTTTCATGTATATAAATTGAAAACTAGAACACAAAACTTATTAATGTAATACAAGACTAATTTATTTGAAAACCGCATATTGTTTATTAATGTATTAATATTAGTACATGAATTAAGCAAATCAAACACAGAATGCAAATAAACCTAAAATTATGATAAAACTAACCGATTTGCGTTTATTTTATTTACAAAATTTGTTCAGTTTACAAAAATCTTTCTATAAACTATAAAAAAATCGTTTTCTAAGCTAAATTTTATCAAATCGTCACGAAAAAAAAATCATTGACAAAATCCAAAAAGGCATGAAAAGTTCTCGTCCTTCAAAGTTCTTTTTAAACTTTTGCCCATTACTTGAAGCTAATGTCTATTGCTAACTTTAAATGAAACTATGGTTTATGTTTGACATCATAGATGGCATCCAATGCAATCGATTTTTCAATAGGACTATAGATGTCATTACAGTCTGTAGAATATATTTAACGATAACACATTCACATTTTTATAATGCATTCTTAACGATTTTTGATTTCATTTTATGGAAATTTTATGAGTTGACAATAAGTTTGTAATTCATTTGTTCGATGGCCAGTATGGATGTCCGGATATTGAATTGAGCATTTCGTTTTGTTTTTATTCGCAACTGATGACAAACTCAGAAGGCGTTTCGCATGAGAATTTAAAATTTAATGCGATATGGTCTGTATTGATGGAGAAAAAGAAGAATCCAACAACACTTGGATATACATTTTAATTGCAGTGTGACAAGTTAAAGCACGAGTTAATATTTCTTTTTGAATTGTTAAACTAATGGAAAAAAAGAACGTAATTGATGTAGCACAAATGAATTAATTTCAGTTGCATTCAATTGTTCAATTTACATATATGCTCTATAACTTGAAGCATTGATGATGAAGCATTTGTCCTCTTAAGCTGAACTCAGTCTTTCAATAGTAGTCAACGAAATGTGATGGCTTAATTGAGCCGATTGAATCTTTGTTTTATATAGAAATCATTTTAACGCATAAGAAAAAAAATGTCATTTTTATAGCAAATGTCTGATTCCGCCACAAGGTAACTGATGAATTAAAATCAAAACAAAGAAAACAAAATAACGAATTAATTATTCATTGGAGCAAAATGGCATCTGTTGGCACGAAATACTTAAAAAATTTACTTTGGTTTCAAAACTTCTATATTGAGAACGCGCTGACAATGACAAAAAGAAAATAGATGTAAAAATGTCAGTTTAAAAGCATTGCATTTGCCTTATGTGTTTGTATGCACATACAACAGACACATCGACGAAGAGTTGATAACTTGAGTCACATATTCGAATCGTTGATGGAACGGAAATGGTAAGAAAAACAAAGAAATCGTCTCATAAAAAGCATTTCACGCAAAATTATTATTTTAAGCAAGAAAGCATGATATCAATCTGATCCAGAGCTTACATCAAAAAGTTCATGGCATTATTTGTGCTGAAATCTTTTCCACCATCGAACTTTAAGAAAGTAAACTGCTCAAGAAGTAATAAAGAACGATGACGTGATAACGTCGGTTGAGAATGTCGAGAAATAAAAGGGAAATGGCGAAACAATGCCACCGCATATAAAAAAATGTTTAGCACGCTTGCAACGAAAAGAGACAGACAGACGCAAGGAGTGAGTGAGAGAAAGCTGACGATAGTGAGAATGAAACGAATAAAAACTTGTCAGTTGTCACTTGAAAAAAGGGAATCAATAAGAGAAACATTGCATGTTACGACAAATTTTTATCTATCCATCCGAATGGCATGGGAAAAGTGAAGTGGTTCCAATGGAGATGAAATAAGACAAGAATACAGACGGATGAAAGCAAAATATAAGCACTAAAATGAATAAAACATTAAATTTTGCACGAAATGAATGCAACGACAAATGTCCTCGAAACTGTAGTTACATCCAATAACAATGTAAACAACAAATGACATCTTGTTATTCCGCCTTTTAAAGTATCATCGCCATAATTCTTGCAAAGTGTTGTTCTTGTGCTTTCTTTTTTTATATACATTTTATATTGCCCGTTCCGTACGTTCTACCAACACTCGTTAT